TATAAAGAAAGTGCAAGAAATTTTACATTACTGCCTGAGAATATTAAGCAGTCCTCTGTTTTGTTTTGGGGGGTTTTTTTTGGTTTTTTTTTTGTTTGTTTGTTTGTTTGTTTTTTTGGGTTTTTTTGGTTTTTTTTTTTTTTGGCTTTTTTTTAAGACAAGACATAGGGATAAAAGAAAATGAAATAAAATTCTAATATTTGACCCTAGGGAGAGCACTAAACAACTGGACACAGAATTACAGGGGTCCAAGAAGGCGGAGGTACTGGGCACATAAAATCAGAACAAGGAAGGGTCTTCCCAGGGTTTAGAGGAGAGGATAAAGTGAGCAGCAGAGCAAAGGTGGCAACCAGCAAAGGGCAGTCGGTGTGAGCAGCCTGTATGAGCTCTGAACTACCAAATCCATTAGTCGGGGGAAGCTGGAAAAAGCTCTAAAGTGGTTCTGAAAGCAAGTTGCAAGGAAACTAAGTACTCATCTAAAACACTTTTCAGGGAAATGCTCCAGGTCATTTTCAGGCTTTTACATTCTGTTAAAAAAGGATGATCTTAATATGAGGTAGGGGTGTCAGAGCTGTGTTGGAATTTGATGGAGCTGCACTGAAGTTCAGGGAGATGTTGGGGAGCAGAGCTGGGCAGGTGGCAGAGCTGTGGGCCTGGGCAGTGGCTGCATCCTCAGGCTGAAATGACTGCCTGTTTCCAAAATTCAAGGCAGAGTCTTCGGAACTAGACCTTAAGTATAGCAGAAACCAACACCCTCACTAATTAGAGACAGACCAAGCCTGCACAGAGCAGCGTAGCTGCACAGAGCCAGCACCATTCCTTGCTTCTGGGCTCCTGATGGACACTCCTGAATTCTGACTTCTCAGGTGGCCTCATCTGAAATATGGCCAATTCCCACCTAAAAGTATTTTAGCTTTGAATGATCCCTCCTTGTGCAGATGTCATGTTATACATGCCTGAACCACAGCACTGTTACTATATGTCATGTGTGGCAGTATCATGGCCTTCTGTTTATGCAATTATTTTATTTCAGGAGGTATTGAAAAAATAGAAGCACAACAAGAAAATAATTTAATGTAAACAATGCAGGTAATAATAAATTAAAATTATATTAGATCCAAAACTGATTGAGACCACAAAGGAAAAGATTCAGAAGCAAAAACTGCAGACAAAATCAGCATCTATAAATGAAGAGTTGTGTGAACACTAAGGAGAAATAGCTTAATAATATTTTAAAACATTGCCATTACAACTGATCCTATTAAAATGAAGCTGTATGTAAAATAGGAGCCCTGATTGTGAATCTAGGCAAGACTGATTTTCTTATATGACCTTCAACTACCAGCAGTGAGAAGGCTCAACCTAGTTCTTAGTAAATAGGTGTCACCCAACAAATGGGACTGACACTAATTAGCTTCCTTGTTGATAGTCGGGAAGCAGAGGACAGAGGCAGGAGATGGCATGGTGCACTCATTGTTAGAGCAGTAGGTGAGGACATTTGCTGGCTGGCATGGCAAAGGAGGCTGGCACTGCGGCTGCTGTTTGGAAACTACCCTGGCAATGGAAGGCTTCACTTCCAGGACAGTCAGGCAAGCTAACTTCACAAGTGTTTTGAATGAAAACAGAGCCACAAAGAACCTCAACTGAAATGTCTGAATTTTGAGGAAGACAATATTAACCTGTGGTATTTCTCCACCTTAAGGAAATACCCCTTAGTTTTTGTCTTCTCACCTAAGAAAAGGGGCTGTTACCAGAAGAGGACAAAAGGTGAGCCTGAAAAAGGACAATAAAGGACTGTCAGTAACTTCTACACAAGGAGAAATTAGAAAATAAGTTTGGAAAGTGAAGTTGGAAAAGATGCTCAGAATAAGCAATATATGTTATTATGATTAATAGTATCAAGGGGGACAATTGATCAAGAGAGCAGCTGTAAGGGAATTTAAGCATTTTTTCTGCAAAGATAATTCCCAGTAGGATTCAGACAATGTTTGTAATAAGTCTATTTTTATTAAGATTATTGGATTGGTGTTATCCAGGGGATTATATTTTCCAATTACTAATATTTTCATTTTTCAGTCTTAGTTTATGATTGAAGCAGGGACATGGGTGGCACAGAACAAAATGCATTGGCCTGACTTGGGATGAGAATAATCATTGCCTCAAAGCAAACAAAGTCCCAAGAAATTAGTCTTTATTTTCTAGCTCATTAAAAAAGACCTTGAGTTTTAATAGCAAAACATTAATACATTTTTTAAAAAATTTAGATGTATATCTGTCCATTTGAAGACTGTAGTGCCATCCAGTCTGAACCAGGAGCCCAACACCAGTTTGGTGCCAGGCTCTGGCCTCTGGCTCTTTGATACAGCACTGTCTATCTCCAGATCTCATGACTATAGGTCTAAAGACTGCAGAAGAGCCCATTGCATATCAGTTATACCTCAAATTAATCTATAGCAAGTATAAACAGGAATACTGCCACTTTATTCAGATCCTTTCATAGCTCTGTCATGATTGTTTTACCTTATTGTGATATCCATGTAGCCATGGTGAAGCAGTACCTGTTCAGAAGTGTTACACACATGTTCTATATGTGGATTGGTCAGAAAATTCATCGAATCCTTTGACAGAATGGGCTAAGTATTTCATAAACAGAGAACCTCTTTCCACATGATTCTCCAGGGCAGTGTTAGAAAGTCTACTGAGAGATCTACTGTGAATTAGTAAAGCAGGACTTTTCTATTTGGATATCTATCTCCAGGGCCAAGCTGTTGAAAAAGAGGAAAATGTGAGTGAGCAGTCAAGTTTTCTGAGGGCTAGACTTGGCCTAATGTGAGAGGATATGCTTCATAGGTCACTATTTTGTCTGGAAGAGGTATGATCAAACATCAAAATGGTTTTGTAGAAAGGAGCTGGGGCTAGTGTTCTTCTCATGCTTCTTTTTCCCACTGCTTTAAAATATTGGAGGAAAGAAACTTTCAAGTTGTGTCTATTTTGGATAAATCTGAGGAGAGAAAAACATTAACCTGTGTTGCTTCTGGTCTTTTTCTGAATCTCACATGGGAAAAATAGAGAAGGAGCAGTCTCTTCCTGGTGTGTCAGAAGAGAGTATTTTCCAAGGAGCTGCCTGCAGTGTGCTGAGGCACGTATACAAGAAGGTGGGAAGTGCCTTAGATAGACTGTAGAGAGATAGATGGCAGTCAGGTGAGACTAAGACACAGATACCACTCCTGGGCAGGAGAACAGAAAGGGTGACAACAAAAACAAAACCTTAGACAGTTGTTCTTAAGAGAGGGATCTAAACCTCGGGAAGCAATTGTAAATTCAGTAAGTATCTCAATAGGACAAAAATCCCAGATGTCATCATGACAAGAGACTTTTATAGCTTTTTTTTCATTTTTCACATGTTTACTACCACACAGCAAGAAGGCTGTTGATACCTGTGTGATAGGTATCAATATTTCTATCAAGAAGACATGGAAAAAACCTAGGAGACACTGGTTCAGATTTACTAGGGTAGCTGCAGAGACTGACAAACTCCCCAACCCTCTACCATAATATAAAGGGTTTCAGCCTAGCAAATCTTACATTTATCACCCAGCATCTCTAAATATTATTGCAGGGAAAACAATTTTGCATCAAAACAAAATATAAATGCCAATCCACTTGGCGCACCTAAGTGCAAGGTAAGAAAAAACTGCCAGCTTTGCCTAGTTCCCACTCAATTGTGTAGCCCAGTGCCCTTTAGGACTACAGTTATTAACCAGCAGTAATAAATCTTCAGGTTTAGTGTTAGAGTATCAGCTGGTTTCACTAACCAGGAGGAGAGTGGAAAGACACTCAGAAAACCAAGCCCCCTATTATGCTTTGGCATGTCAACTAATACTTCTTGTGTGTGTCACTGAAGGTCTAGGGATCAAATAGCCACTTCTAACATTCTCCCACAGTGTTTAAAAGGTCTTACCCTCTCCTTTGCCCTAAGGTGGCGACTTCATTTAACTTTCAAAGTATTTGTTTGGACCATTTTTCTCACCTTTTGTAGATAAGAAGATAATCCACATTTTATATTAAAAATACCATGGGCAATTGGTTCTCTGGACCTACACTGCAGTTGAATCTATTGCTTCAATGTCAGAGTTTTGGTGCTGGGACTGGATCACAGCTTAAAGTTCATAATCAGAATAAACAGCTCAGATGACACTGGTAGTCATTGCAATGATTAAATATGACTCCAGTGCTCTCAGCTAATGTTGCACTAACTTTAAACATCTTTTCAAGACTAACATTTAGCAAAGTCAAGTTGAGTGTAATGGAACAATTTTTTTTTTTTCCAACTGAACATTTATGAACTGTAGTACCTGAATGGTTGACAGGAGAGAGTATTGAAATGGCCATTTACAGCCCGGTTCAATTTGCAAAATAGATACCTTCCTAAACAAAAGAATCATTGAACATACAGGAGTTCATTTAGCAATGTACTTCTATTTTTCCAAAGGTCCTTAACCAGCAATCTGAAAGACCATCTGGTCCTGTAAATATTAACATTCAAGGATAGTTTTACACATGAAGAATTCTACAAAGTTCAGTGAGACTCCTGATCATTAAATTCTTTATTACGCCTTTTGCAGGATCAAGCCAGTTGCTGAATTTAAAAGTTCTAAGAGTCAGCCATAGCAGTGTTACAGTATTGCTATATTTAAATAAGCTGATAAAATTGTAGTAACTGAAAAAAATCTTACAAGTGTAAAGCCAAGCAATGCATGATAATACAAGTACTTATCATGGCTGAGAAATGACACCCAGATTACAGAGCACTGGTTTTATATGATTTCATACAAACAACTGAAAAAGTTTTGGAGCAACCAATATTTCCCACACAATAGAACACAAATTTCTGTTCTGTAGCATTGGTTAGAGCAGTTTCTAAAGCAGAACATGGAAATGAAAGGATTGTCAGTACAACAACACAATTCCAGTGTAAATATTATGCTAGGATTGTCAGTACAACAACATGTTATTTTCATGTGTCATTCCCTTAAGTTTTAGAAGCTTCTTTAAATATTTCTAGTGCAATAAATGGATGGCAAATGGGTGGCACAGTTTACTACCACCAAAAGCAAAAATGTGACAGGTTTTCAGCTTTCAGGTATGCTCCAATTAGGAGACCACAAGTACAGGAAGAATGTGTCTATTTGTCTGTGCATGCCATTCTTATCCACATCTTCCACCTCTTTCTTTAACACTTCTGTGATAGCATTCAAAGACTTAAGCCATTAACCTAAATATCTATCTTCAGGGTATTTAATAAGTTTCATATTTCAAACAGTATACATGTCCAGATTTTGAAATAATATGATTAAACAGACAGAAAAAAACCCTCTGCTCATAGTTTCTGGCCAAGTAGGATTGTTCTCTATAGAATATTTTTCAAGTGGTTTATCTTAGCTTATTTTAAATTACTTTGGAGAGTAAGGCTGCAGCAATTTCCTCAAAAGATAACCCTTGAGTCGCTGTTAAGAAGCATTCCTAATGCTGAGTCAAACTCAGTTCCACAGCTTGCTTTTATCCCACTTGTCTGAATAATATATTTTAGAGCACCTTAAATAATTATCCTGTGTCCCTGACAATCATGTTCTTCAAGTATGTGGAAAAGTCTTATTTTGGTGCCAGTCCTACCTAATTCTACAACTGAGAAAGACTGGCAATGACCAGGAGGCAAGAGAAGGTCTGGGAATACTAAGTCACATTAAACACAGAGAGAGAGTGTTCCTAATAGCTGGCTCCCTGTGAATGGATAGCTTCCCTAGCAGCTGCTCTCTGGTAAAAACAGTGACTGCAGTCACTTCCTATTAATAGCAATAAACTTTAGTCAAATCCCATATCTGTATGCTGATCAAGATGTAACTCATGACTTAAAATACCAGAAACAACCTTGAGATTAAACAGAGGTACACAAAGAAGACGTGTGTTTTAACACCTTTCCTGCTCTTCTTTTCCCTTCCTGATTATGGTGACACACAATCAAAAGAACAAGGATTAAAAGTGAATGTAATTTAAATGCCATATTTGAAATGGACCAGATGGGAATGATACAGTTGTTCTTCATAGCAAAGTGAGTGAGAGATTATTTCCAAACCTCTTTGTCAGAAGCCTTTGATTTTTTTTTTTTTTTTTTTTTTAATCACATCATGAGCTTGTGGGAAAGGTCAGGAGGAGCAAAACTGCATTTCTCAGCACAACCTAGGCACTGGTCTGCCATCTGCCTGGGAAGACAGAGCGCAGTGAGCACAGCGCAGTCCTGCCAAGCTGCGTCTTCAGCAACTTTTACTTCCTTTGCCTCCCATCAGAAAGGAGATGATCAGCAGCTGAAGAAGGAAAGGTACTCATGCACAGAGGAAATTTTCTCACTGACAATTTCTTAGAGACCATTCAGTATATATGCTGTCAAAGCTGGCATTGGCAGCCCACAGACATGGGTTTTAATCTCTTCTTTCTCATTGTGCTCATAGGGCAGCTCTTGTAAGAGCCATCACCCTAATCTGTGGTGTTTTAAAGTGGCATCATGGAGGAACAGGAATTGATGCACTATTAATCAAAAAAGATACAGTTCAGCGATTACAAAGTAAAGGCATAGGATCGATATCAATGGGATCACACTGATACACTTGTGCATCAGTTCAGAGTGATATGTTTGTGGGCTCAGAGAGCTAAGGGAGGATAACTAACAGTTGTGACAAAAATACTAGCCTTCTCCTTCCTTGTCAGAGGACAGGAGTCCAAACACGATACCCTTCCGTAAAATAATTCTCATGCTTATCAGCCACTTTCCTGGTGCTGTCACTTTTGCTCTTGACAGATGGCAAACCAAGGCCAAGCACAGAAATGGGATGTAGCATCCCCAGTGACAGGGCACATGGCTTCCATAACTCTATCTCTGCACCTTTCAGCATGATCTGCAGGAGTCTGCCTCATGCAGCAGCCAACCACCTTCTGTCTGATCAGACCAATGCAGGAGCCTGGTGTTCACAATAAAATCACATGGTCTAAATCTGAGGACTGGGAAAAATTCACGTTCAGAATCACTATCTATATCCCAAAAGCATGAGAGTCAAAAAAAGAGAAAAGAGTGGAGCTGATGCAATTAATTTACATTTTTTCTGACTTGTAAATATAAATAAATAAAAATTTTATGTGTACATATTTATATAAATAGGATGGAAATTAGGCCTGTTTATTGGTGGAAGCTTTTCCTCTTCCAGTGAGTCTTCCAAATTTAGGAGTCAGTTTTTCTCCTGAAGTATATCTATGACTATGTACAAGTCAAGCAAACACTTTCAAATAGACCCAAGCACAAATTAATTAATTTAAACATTATTTTTCCAAACTGTATTTTGTCCCTGTGTAGCTTTTGAAGACTTTTGAAAGCCACAAAAATTCTTAAAGTTTATGAGGAAATAATTTTAGATTGTTAAAATATAGCTAGAACCAAATACTTTCTGAAACTTTAAGAGAAAACTATTTGTTCATACCTAGACATGGAAGCAAAAGTAAATGAAACATGAAATGAAGAGGCAAACTTTGAAGTGATGAGGTTCCAAATATCCAAATATAGGCAGTTTTCAGCATTAATTATTTGATGCAGTTCTGCTTTTTACTATAATTTTTTTTCAGGTGCAACTTTTGAGGGTTAAGTTCATTTTTATAATTTATTTCTTAATAATGGTGTCAGAAATCAGCCTATTAGCCTTATTCACTCATCTTAGTCCTGGATCATGTTCTTAAGGGTAACTTGAAATGGTCATATTATTGTGTTTCTCCAGTAACTTCCTCTGAAAGTGAATGTTATTCCTTTCACCTAACTAACACGACTAATCCTTGCCAATGACATTTAACGAGCCACACAAGTATGCTCTAGAGTGGATCAGACTCTCTGCTTAAAAACCATTATACTTCCCTGTCTTATTTTTTAACTGCAGAGGTAAATTGCACATTTTAGGAGAAAGTATAAATATCTCAGAGCCAAGAGTTTAAAAATAAAAACAAAAAATTACATGTTTCTAAATTTGAAAACGAGTCCTAAATGAGTCTATTCAGATTGCTATAAAGAAATCTTTAATTTAAGATGTCCAACTCATGGGTATGGATAGCAATGTTCTCTACCTGTCACTTTATTGTGAGAATCATAGATAAAATTGCTTTAATTTCTATCTATTTGCAATGCTGCAACTCCAAGGACAAGCTGGTTATGTTCGAGGGCTCCCCCACTTTGCTGAATGTTCTATAACCAGCCAGCATAGCACATATAAATGCTGCAGAGTTTATCATCCAAACTAGAAGCAAGAGGAGGGAGAGAGAGAGCGTGCGATGGGCTGGTGGAGGAGAGCTGGTGAATGGACAGCACTGCTCAACGTGAGATGAAGGAGTAACAGCACATCAGCAGCCTCACTTTGCCAGTTTTGGGGGGTTTGTTTTTCTTGTGCTTTTTTCAGGATATCAAAGCAAAGGAGTTTTAATGAGGGTCTGAAGGAGAATAATGAGGTACTTTTGCAGATGTCTGCAGGGTGTTCCTCCTCACTCAAAGGGGCAACATGTACAAAGACATTTTGAAAAACAAGTGAGCAATGGAAGTTGGCATCTTAGTTCTTTTGAAACAAAAGACCCTGATGCTGACCTCATTTACACTGGCAAAAGCTGTGACTCCTGTGAATTCAAAGTCCCTGTAGCATAAAAGTAGTCCTGGATTACATACTGCCAGAACTGCCTTTCAGAAGCCTTGGTGACCACTGAAACAATATTCCAAAGATACTGGCAGCTCATTTTTGCATTTACTGTAAGGTCTCTGTACATTTTTCTGCCACTAAAGAGAGTCTTGAAAGTGCACAGTTGTTAATTGTTTGACAGAAATGTGTAGTGGATCCTAATGTAGACAAGAATCTGATGACTTTGGTTTAAATATTTTAAACATACACGTGTATATGTGTGTCTGTATGAACAAATATACACATAAATGTATACATACATACATATACATGTATGTATAAACACATGCACACATATGCATTCCTCTTCAGTCTAACACAGAGGGAGACAAAGTAATCAGATAAATAATGTCTGATTAGAGACAAAATAATTTTATATTGAGAAGACACGTTATCTCCTTTCCTGCTTTTTAAAACAGCTCTGTCTGAATTATACATAAATCATTTAGTATATCCATATAAAAGAAAATCCCCCAGAAGGAGTTTCTACAGCTTTTGCTAGCACTATGCATGTCATGAGAAACTTTCGGGAATTAAACCTGTAGGAGTCATTTGACCTTAGATGTCAATGGTGCCTAAATTTTCAGGTTATTCCTGAAACCATCTGGAAGCCCAGGACTCACTAAATTGAGACTTAGCTCTCCATGACCATCATCTGCTCCTTGTGGGCTACCTCAGCTCAGGCTGGAGTCATACTGCCTGCACATGCCTGTGGTGTTTGATATCACAGCCTTTCTGCAGGGTATCTCAGGCTATCTTACTTATCCAGAACGGGTCATGTGACACTCCTTAAAACACAGAAATTATGTACAAAACCAGACACAAATGTCAGGAATTCATCACAGGACATGTAAAAGCATTGTTCCCTCTGCTCTGACATAATGGGATGTTCCTTCATGGAAGTATCATCATGAGGGCTCTAGAGCTGGCCCCAAGGACACTTGTCAGGAGAGCTTTGTGGACTGGCTATGAGGCAGACCTTGGGCTAGCCTTAGGGTGGCTCCTACCCCGTGATGTTGATACAAGCACTAAGCCATACTGTGCACCTCTCCTCACAGGGCTAATGTGTGATTAGGGCTGGCAGAAGTTCCCAGCACAGCAAGTCTGGCTTGGGGAACGAAGGTTTGGCACAGAGGAAACCCTGGCTGTCTCCCTGTTCCTTAAGCTCCCACCACTACTGCAGTTCTGTTCCCCCTACCCTACCATTTCAGTCCAGTGGAAGAGCACCAGCAAAATCAAACAGCACTGTCTTATTTGAAAAGAGTATAGGAACTAAAACCCCAACATAAATTCCAAAACCCAAAATTAAATTAGTTCTGGCATCCAAGTATCGCAAAGGACATTACAGATAAAATACAGAATTAATTCTGCAGAAGTCCAACTGATTTATAATAAATTTGGGGAGGAAAATAAATGAGAATTAGATTTTTGCATGCAGCATTGTTTTGCTAAGAGAAAGAACATAGTTAAAAACCTTAGGAAAACTGAAGTGACTATTCTTAAGTGTCTCTCTTTATATGTGATTAAAGTATGAGTTAACAACTGCCACTTTATAATTAACACTTACTTGTCTATATTTAATCAGAACAGTATAGTATATAGAAGATAAATTCTGTACATTTTTTCTTTAATATATTACCGATTCTGCCTTATAAAACATACTACATTTCACCATTTGTGAAACAGAAGCATGAGCCAGTGGCAGGGAAAAGGAATTGTAGCCCTAATGCCCAACTTGTAGAATAGCCCAACAACTTGCAGAAAAGATTTGTGCCAGCTATTTTAATTGCTGGATTCTTCCCTAAGTTATCCACTTCTGCTTCAGGAACCACCAGTGCCATTTCTGATTTAATAATTGCATGTAGAGAAAGAACTATAAAATAAATGGTGTGAAAACCCTGATTTTGTTTTGCTTTTAAATTTTTGTTGCCTTACAAAGGAAGTGGATGCAAATTCTTTTAACTGTACAGCTACCTTAGTCTGGAACAACGAGCCCATTGATGTCAGTTCGGTTTGTATCCTACAGAGATCAGAATTGGTAGACATTGCATAGAGGGTTTATAGAGCCTCACACTACTTTTCAAACTAATGCCATGCATAAAATTATGATCTCAACTAATCTGTCTGCAGAAAATCACTGGCTGATATATACAAACACTTTACTGAAAACAAGTCTTGGTCTAACTTTTCATTTACAAAAAAAAAAAAGTAAAATAGAAGAAAATAACATGGGCCATCTTGACTCAAGTAAGCACACATAGAAAGTCATAATTAGCCAGCTATATTCTAAATTACCAAAAATTAGGGTGTAACCTCACCTGCTTTGTGTTGTCTTTAAGCAGCCTTTAAGACTCCTATCTGTAACCTCTTTCTGGGATTTATTATCCACCTTGGACACAGTTTCTTTCTTGTGACAAATCAGTGTGTAATTTTTGTCATCATTGTTTGCCCAGAAGATACCAACTGATGTCTCGTAGCGGATACAGAATTCCACTTTAATTCCATCTTTCTGGAAAGGAGGCACCAAAGAAATCTTAAAGCAAAACTGATCTGTTTCACTACCACAAGAATTAGGCATGAACTCTGCGAGGATGTCATAGTAACTGAGCCAGTTATTCAA